GATATAAATTAACATAACTTAAGAATGATGGAAGACCATATTTCCTTTCAAGTGACAGTAATATTTAAAATTTATTTCTTACTCTAGTTGCAGTTTTTATTTCCATATACCTTTGTATTCATACGTTTTTACATACAGTTGGTATTATTTGTTTGACTTCATTTTTTATTCAATATACATTTTATTTTCATGTGCGCTTTCGTTTCGCGGTATCTTAACAGAACTACTTCATTAATGGATAAATTCTGAAGAAAATAATACGACATTCTCGAAGGCCCGACTGAACACTGCAAACTGTGACCAGAGCAGAGCAACATGAGGATAGTCATCATTTTTCTCTGTATGTAGAAAATATCTAGAAGCTAGAGGTTTAATGTTGAATTATTTACTTGTAGTCAAAAATGTAAAAATGTTAAATGTACATACTCTACTTTGGGGAGATGAATCATTATCTTTGCAAGAAAATGAAAGAATATTTGGTATTGTTCAAAAATTTATTCAGGATACTGGTCGTTTCAATTAACAACTTTTTGCATTTACTACCTCTTTGAAACTATTTTTATTCTGGTCATTGTCGTCTTTATAATAAACAGAATATTAATTGATATATTTGGCAATAATAGCTATTGGTTTTTTTCTTCTATGTTCATGCATATTATTGTAAAACTGTAAAACTTTGTAAATATTGTATGGCTATTGAGATTTTATGTATGGGAGAGGACTATCTAAGTTTTTGGAACTTGTGTCCAATCCCTTTGACAAGTTGTCAATAAAATATGTTCAAAACAACATGAACCCCTAAAACATCAGAAGTGGGATCAGGTACCATGGAGAAGGGATCATCTCATGTTGACTTGTCACACCTACCACAAGTTACTCGTTATGATAATCAGGTAAACGGAGAAATCCGTATCTAATCCAGTATGAAAGTTGTGGCTTAACAATTTGTATAAAAAAATCTGTAGAAGGTCATAGTATCGAAAATAAATTGTGAAAAAAAAACTTAAACGAGACATTTCATAACCATTTATCTTGGCATATATTAAACTCTTTCTAATACCCCATTCATACGACGGAAATTTGCTTATGTGTGCAAATATACATATGAGTAAATCTACACACGTCAGTAAAAGTTAATTTGCTATGCGTTCAGACGAGATTTATGTACTGTAATTAAATTCTCATATTATTATATAAAATTAGGAGATGAACAGAATTAGCACTGTGAATTTTTATTTAAAAAGGGGATATTTTCCTTTTATTTGGATATAAGACTAAATAACCTCAAAGGTACTAGGACAAAATCCGATCCACTGATTTACTGGTACAAAAAAACGAACTTAATAATTTAAGGACAAAGAATGGCATAAGAATGTTCACACTTATAAAAACCATTGTTTAATGTTTTGGTCCTGGTGCTAAAGACTGTTGAAGAGCGTTTGGTGTAAAGAAAGAGGTGTCTGTTGCCATCTAGCGGTTGGCGTCTTCAGCAGAAACAAGACGATTGGAGTCTTTTTGTTATTGGGAAATTCAGAGTACATGTACATCAAGTTTGAGAGACCATAATGAAAAATCTGCTTGATATTATTGTAATTTCCAGGAGAAAGAAAATGGTGAAGAAACCGAACAGTGATCGATCTCAAAAATCTTTAAACAATACAAATATGTGAAGAAGAAATAAACACGAAGCCCTGGAAATTCATGGTGGGATTTCTACTGAGCACCAACAGGTGCCATTGAGGATACTTACGAATGCTTATTTTAAACGAGGTTGTTGAAATTCCTGTAACATCAGCTTATATGTAGCTTGCCCTGGTTGAAAAACAGAGAAAGCTAGAAGAAAGTCATAAAGAGCTAATCTGTAATGAGACAAGTTCGATTGATGGAATTTACATGTATATTCCTATCAAAGCTCCATGGAGACTACTTGAAAAGTAAGGGGACTACTAACTGATCCTGAAGGACGCATGTTCGCGACCATATTTACATCTTTAGAGAAAAATATGAATTTGCCAGAAAGGGTGCAAGATGCCCACATTTTCGAATATTCGAAAATTTATCTCAGAAGAGAAAACGGCTTCTTGTTTTCAGAGTTGAAAATGCCATTTGTAGAAAGTACTATGCTAGTACAATCCAGCGTAACCTTGAACAACTTGACTTTTGAAGCCATGCACCAACAGATCTACCCTTAAAAATTCCAATTTACTTTCAACTTTCGTTGAGGTAGTGCAAGGATAACCATTAAAATCCACGTTTTTTTTAGCTTTGATTTCTAGCCGCCATGTTTACTGACTGGTATTTAACATGCTCCAAGTCATACACAACCGATACAACCCTCAAAATGGATATTTATACTATAAACAAAACGAAATACACACATAATAAATTTACTGCGTGTTCATACGACAAAATTTACTCACATGAACTAATAATTTGCGACAACACGTATGCAAAAGTTAATTTGCACCTAGTCCTGACCAGGTGTAAATTTACTCAACTGTGCAGACTTTGTATGCAAAAGTTAATTTGCACCTAGTCCTGACCAGGTGTAAATTTACTGACATGCAGACTTTGCATGTTAGCAAATCATGTCGTGTGAATGGGGCATAAACATAATTAAAGAGAGTTGTAGTAGACACAATATGCATGTGATAATAATATATTGCCTGCAATGTTGAAAATACAACAATTAAATTCATCATGTTTTACATAAAATCTGGGCTTTCTCTTATACAACATTCGTAACTGAAACAGATGTGTAAAATTCCTAAGGCGTTTTTTATTTCAAGTTCAATTGGAAATAGACATAAAAAAAACTATTGAATACGACTTATATGACTGACTCCAAACAGTTTTAACAGCCGTATACCCAAAGCAAAAATTAAATCAGATGGTTCTTGTTATGTATCTAAAAAAAACGTATTCCACGTATGTCTATGCGAAGAAGTGTACAAATAAAAAGTCTAAAACTTAATTTCTTTTTTGATTCTTAAAATTTGGTGTTTGTAAGAGATTATTAAGATTATCAATAACATCAAAACACCTACGATTATGTAACGTGCATTTACATGTTTCTTATACTCATTTTTCCAATTGAAACTTTTGCCAGATATTCCTTATTTACAAAAATCTATTTTAGTACCATAGTATGGCATGTCAAACGTTGCAATATTTGATAATCTTGTGATGTATATTCAAAATCTTGTGATGTATGTTCGAAATCTTGTGATGTATATTCAAAATCTTGTGATGTATATTCAAAATCTTGTGATGTATGTTCGAAATCTTGTGATGTATATTCAAAATCTTGTGATGTATATTCAAAATCTTGTGATGTATGTTCGAAATCTTGTGATGTATATTCAAAATCTTGTGATGTATGTTCGAAATCTTGTGATGTATATTCAAAATCTTGTGATGTATATTCAAAATCTTGTGATGTATGTTCGAAATCTTGTGATGTATATTCAAAATCTTGTGATGTATGTTCAAAATCTTGTGATGTATATTCAATATCTTGTGATGTATATTCTAAAACTTGTGATGTATATTCTATAATCTTGTGATGTATGTTCGAAATCTTGTGATGTATATTCTATAATCTTGTGATGTATATTCAATATCTTGTGATGTATGTTCAAAATCTTGTGATGTATATTCAATATCTTGTGATGTATATTCGAAATCTTGTGATGTATATTCTATAATCTTGTGATGTATGTTCGAAATCTTGTGATGTATATTCGAAATCTTGTGATGTATATTCAATATCTTGTGATGTATGTTCAAAATCTTGTGATGTATATTCAATATCTTGTGATTTATATTCTAAAACTTGTGATGTATATTCTATAATCTTGTGATGTATGTTCGAAATCTTGTGATGTATATTCTATAATCTTGTGATGTATATTCAATATCTTGTGATGTATGTTCAAAATCTTGTGATGTATATTCAATATCTTGTGATGTATATTCGAAATCTTGTGATGTATATTCTATAATCTTGTGATGTATGTTCGAAATCTTGTGATGTATATTCGAAATCTTGTGATGTATATTCAATATCTTGTGATGTATGTTCAATATCTTGTGATGTATATTCAATATCTTGTGATGTATATATCTTGTGATGTATATTCGAAATCTTGTGATGTATATTCAAAATCTTGTGATGTATGTTCGAAATCTTGTGATGTATATTCAAAATCTTGTGATGTATGTTCAAAATCTTGTGATGTATATTCAATATCTTGTGATGTATATTCTAAAACTTGTGATGTATATTCTATAATCTTGTGATGTATGTTCGAAATCTTGTGATGTATATTCTATAATCTTGTGATGTATATTCAATATCTTGTGATGTATGTTCAAAATCTTGTGATGTATATTCAATATCTTGTGATGTATATTCGAAATCTTGTGATGTATATTCTATAATCTTGTGATGTATGTTCGAAATCTTGTGATGTATATTCGAAATCTTGTGATGTATATTCAATATCTTGTGATGTATGTTCAAAATCTTGTGATGTATATTCAATATCTTGTGATTTATATTCTAAAACTTGTGATGTATATTCTATAATCTTGTGATGTATGTTCGAAATCTTGTGATGTATATTCTATAATCTTGTGATGTATATTCAATATCTTGTGATGTATGTTCAAAATCTTGTGATGTATATTCAATATCTTGTGATGTATATTCGAAATCTTGTGATGTATATTCTATAATCTTGTGATGTATGTTCGAAATCTTGTGATGTATATTCGAAATCTTGTGATGTATATTCAATATCTTGTGATGTATGTTCAATATCTTGTGATGTATATTCAATATCTTGTGATGTATATTCGAAATCTTGTGATGTATATTCTATAATCTTGTGATGTATGTTCGAAATCTTGTGATGTATATTCGAAATCTTGTGATGTATGTTCGATAATCTTGTGATGTATATTCGAAATCTTGTGATGTATATTCAATATCTTGTGATGTATATTCGAAATCTTGTGATGTATATTCGAAATCTTGTGATGTATGTTCGATAATCTTGTGATGTATATTCGAAATCTTGTGATGTGTGTTCTACAATTCAGTGATGCGTGCAATAAAATTGCATGACGCAACAGAAAAGTAAGGACAATTTTCATTGGTTAGAAATAACGAAAGTAGCCGGAGCGGTCGTAATGCACACATTGACACAACTTCGCAAGCATGAAATTGGCGAATTCAACCTAAAGTCAAAATTATAGGTAATAGAAAAATTGTTTTGGTATCAAGAAGCACTAAGTCAGTCATAACGTGAAAAGTGGGAATCAAGAACATTAATTTGATTTGTTTGAAGGTACATCAAAAACAATTTAGTGGCTTATTCAGTTATTGCTGGACTAAAGGATGTTTTATCCTATTTTTACGTCCTCATATTGTAGTGATGTTGATTAATCGGTATGAGTCATTCTATATTGGTGCTAGTTAGAATAATCTAGCTGTGTCTCGGGACAAACTCTCACCACGCAGGGTTCGAAATTGCATGGCCCATTGCAGCTGCATTGACCGTAGCACTAGTCCAGGGACGACTTTGCAATAAATAAATAAATAACACGACAAATTTTTAGGAGAAGGTGAATGTCAGGAAAAGATTAATTGCTATGCATCATTGAATATTGTCATTCACAAATTTGTCCAATTATTTTTATAGTAAATGTATTGAGCCGGGCTCATTTACAGGATAATGAACAAGGACTGTGGTGACAGTTTAAAATCACGTTCAGACGTTTAGAGAATATGTAATACACACAAAAATATCTCAATGGCATGTATAATATTAAATAGTTTTAAAAATAAAATAAAATATAGCTAGAAATTAACAGCGAAAAATATTTATCACGTATCATTTCGGGGTAATCCGGTTTTATATACAAACAGAAGTAAATAAACACCGATGCAGCAAGATTAAGGTCAAACGTCTCTGCACTGATGTGTCCTCAGCGGTGAGATTTGCATCTAGTCATTAATGATGTTCCCTGCATTTGTGTTAGCCTGATAGTACAACCTTTATTTATAGAATCAATCTAATTCAAATTAGATGTTAGATCCGCTTGCATACTCGCTACACTAACATCTAACAACATCCCGTTGAGGGTCACGTCAGAGGTCAAATTCTATCAATTAATCAAATCGCAGCTGGCAAAATCATCATATATTGTTGAAGCAAATAAATCTTGAGGCGTTCCGAATTTAACCTCTTACGTGACCCTCAATGGGATGACTTGTTAGATTTTAGTGTGTTGAGTATGCGAGCCGATCTAACATCTAATTTTAATTATAATATTGTTTATAGAATATGATGCAGACAGGGATACCTGGTGAAAACCTTTCGCACCCGTTGAATTACTTTGTAAAATATTAGTCAAAGGAGCCAGGAAAAAATATTAAACAATTTAATATTATGATAAAAATATTCAATTTACTATTTCTTAAGGTGATTTTGTTTTCTCAACAGCGGCTGGTCACGTACCATACTTTTACTCGTAAACTCAATTTGGCGGTGAAGAAGCAGCATTTTCTGTTGCTCACCGTCGCTATAGCTGAGCATTGCTCTACGAGCAATGTGCCCGGCTAAAAATCATAATATTTGTAATGATATATCATATTCTAGACTTGACATACAATAAACAATGATAAGAATTATTGTCGCATATCTGCAGTGATTTTCTTCGATCTTTTTGTGGTGATAATTTATCCCATATCACATGTGTGATAATACTTTCCAAACATGTTTCAAAGTTTTTACACTCTTTATCATACAGTTTTAAAGGACAGTTTTATGAGCTCATAAGTATATTAAATGGTTAATTTATCAAAACCTGCATTTAAAAATTCAGAAGTCTTAAGTTAAACCAAATTGTCCAGGGTATTCTTAGTAAGGTATGTCAAAGGTCATGGTTAAGTGACTTTGTAAGGCTGGTATTTTTTCTTTAGTTTTATGGCAATCAGTGCACATGGTAAATATCATAAAATTACCCCTTAAAGGTCTTATGCAAGGAGATAGCCAATCAAAATGAACAAATGTAGTTCTATGTATGATGTATATAGAGACAATAATATTTCTTTTCTTTTTTCATTTTCAGGAACTTTACGTAGGTCTACAGTTTTAATGTTGGACTCATGCACTAGGAATATCATATCAGCAGAATTGTGCCACTGAATCAAAGGGAACTCTTTTTTTTTTAGGTACGCATGATCGATGTAACTTCCTTGATGGTGTGTTGGCTGTTTGCCCATGTGTATTTCGGGGTATAGGTATGTTTAGTCTCAATTTTCTTTCTTAAAAGCTGCATAAGGGGTATATTTTTTCTGATCTCAAATTTTGTCTAAGCATTAATCTTTTTTCTCATTCATGAATTATCTGCTGAGAGTCTAGTTAATTAATTTATTTAATTAAAGCTATATAGTAACATATAGTGAAATTATTTCCTTGTGTGAGACCTAAAGAAAATCAGGTTACTCATTTTTATGACAATTTCTTTGATTTCAGGAGTAGCCTCCCCTTTTAAAGATCCAAAATGCGGCATGCAGTCTGTCATCAACGAAGAGTTTTGACACCTGTAATACCCATATTTCTACCATTCACCTCTGTAACCTTTGTTGAGTTCATCAGACTGGTAAGAAAAACAATATTGTTAATTGAAATAATTTTATCAAGATAAATAAAATAATTAATGAAAAAAAAATTACATGAACAGACTCCCTCATATAAGAAAATGTCACATTTTACACATTGCAATTATACATCATTTACATATCCACATTTTCCCCATTTACACATGCAGTTGAATAGATTTAGTGACTAATAATACATAGCAACAATTATTACATGAATCCTAAGACAATTCACAAAATACATGAATGCATTAAACTGTGAAATACAGATTTCGTACATTTAATTAAAATGCACAACATCAGTACCCCCCCCCCCTTCACAATCTAAAAACTTTCTTTTTAATTCAAAGTCACTAGGCAACACTAAAGATTTCCACTTATTGCTTTTCAGTCCAAGACAGGAAGTTGAGGAATAAAGTTGACAGGACATCCTGAACTGTCCTCGCTACCAGCTTATGAGGGAACCAGCTGCAGTGGACAAAGTACGTTACATCATAGGATAATAGGTAAGTCTCCGGAGTAGTGTTTGTAGCAATTCTCGTACTTGGTCCTGCATCGAAGATTCAGGACTATTGATATTTATCTCTGCATGGTTTGGTTCTTCCCAGAAACATGTTACTGGTGGTGGTCCCTATATTCTTCTGGCTTTTGTGGTGAGGAATGTTTCATTTCTAGCTCTTTTCTGATCACATTTTGTCTATCTAGCTGTTTGTCTGTCTGTCCATCTGTCTGTCTGTAAACTTTTCATATTTTCGACTTCTTCTCTAGAACCCATGGACCAATTTCAACCAAACTTGCCACAAAGCATCCTTGGGTGAAGGGGATTCAAGTTTGTTCAAATAAAGGGCCACACCCTCATTCAAGGGGAGATAATTGGGAATTAATGAAAATTTGATGGTATGTTTTAAAAATCTTGTTTTCAAGAACCACTGTGCCAGGAAAAATGAAACTTATGGAGAAACATCCTCAGGTAGTGTAGATTTAAATTTGTTCAAATCATGACCCCCGGGGGTAGGGCGGAGCCACAATGGCTGACCAAAGTTTAACATAAAAATATATAGGAAAATTCTTTAAAAATCTTCTTCTCAAGAATGACAAAGCCATAATTGATCCTATTTATATGGAAGCATCCTCAGGTAGTGTCAATTCAAGTTTGTTCAAATCATAACCCCCGGGGTAGGGCGGGGCCACAATGGAAGATCAAAGTTTTACATAGAAATATAAAGGAAAAATCTTTAAAAATCTTCTTCTCAAGAACAGCAAAACCCTGATTGATCATATTTATATGGAAGCATCCTTAGGTAGTGTAGATTCAAGTTTGTTCAAATCATGTTCCCCGGGGGTAGGACGGGGCCACAAAGGATGATCAAATTTTATATAGAAATATATAGGAAAATTCTTTAAAAATAACCTTCTCAAGAAAAGCAAAGCCATGATTGGTCAAGGGACTACTTTTGGATTTAAACTTTTCAATAAAAAACCAATTTTTACTTTTTCCTAGCCACAGTGCTCAGGTGAGCGATGTGGCCCATGGGCCTCTTTTTTTTTTTTTTTTTTTTTTAAAAATGATCAATCATTAAATATAAATAAATCAGCTGTTAAAAAATTTGCTTCATATTTGAAGTGCTTTAAACCGACCCTTTGATGAAAGTGACCAGTGTTTTTTGCACCTTGGAAGGTTTATTGGTAAAATATAAGAAGGAAGTTATGATTTTGGTGTCACTATTGTTGTTATTTAAGTTTGATTTGATTTTTATATTACGAGTATTATGAAACTGTTATTTTGTTACTGAACGATGGTTAATTTTAATTGTGAACAAATGTACAAAGATGAGGAGTATAATATAGTTGGCTATGTATGTTGCCCAATTTTTGAACATATTATGTAATAAATATTAATAACAACCTTTGAATAATTGGAAAGACAATATTATAAATATGATAGCATTTTTGTACATGAGCATACATTTTTGAAAGGAAAAATAAATTATTCAATTGCATTAAAAAAAATATTTTGTTTCATATTCTTGCGAATTATCAGATCATTCTTCTATTATTTAAATACTCTGTCATTATGAAACCTTGTTAATAATTAAGTAAATATTAATTGTACATTTGCACCAATTTTTACATGGCATTTTCACACTAAGAATGCCACGTGCAAAATTATATACAGGAACAATTCTGAACAAATATATGCAAGTGAGTTGTAAATTTGATATGTAATGCATACATTACAAAAACCCATGACAGTGTTCACTAAAATGAAATGTATGGACTCTTATATAAATACTTGGTATATGTGATATGGATATTATGGATGATATTTTTGAGAATGACACAAGTAATGAAATTTTTCAGCATTGAATTGGATTCTTGAACCAGAGCCATGTGAACCTGGTCCACCTGTACCTCTCATTGAAGACCTGTTAACATCACCAGAGTATGTTCATTCTGATACCCCTATGGTATGGTTACAGCATGCATTATCCCTGAATCCATTAAAAGAGCTGCATTGGCAACGAAACAACCCAATGTGGTCGATTGTAAGGAAATATAGCATATCAGCTTCCAACTTTGGTGCAGTTCTCAGTTCTAAGCAAAGGCGGTAAGACGTGTGATTAAATTTTTGCGAAAAAGACTTTTAAAATTACAGTCAAACTTTGTTATCTCAAACCCATTATCTCATATTTCATGGATATGTCACAGTAATTTTGAAGTCCAAACCATTTATAAAAGACTGGGACATTTTATTCTTGATAACTCTTTATGTGTTATTCTTGAATCCACGGATATTTCCAACATTTTTCTTGGTCTCATTGAGTTTGAGATAATGAGGTTCGACTGTAATGACTAGATATTTGTACATAAAGATGCAGGAAATATAAGATTAATAACCAAAAATCATATTTTCTTCTCCAGATTGACATTGTCACTGAAGAAACAGCTGATTTCTGCTTACAATCTGGAGTCCATCAAGGCTGTTGCATGGGGTATCACTCATGAAGATGATGCTTTGAGAAAGTATGAAAAGGACTTAGATGCAGCTGTAGAGCAGTCAGGTATACAGCACAAAATAACATTCATTCAACCTCTGACATGTTTACATTCAATGTGTCAAAACAAATAGCAGGACTTATCCTGGTGACAAACAGAAATCAATTACTGAAGTCTAATTGTAAAAAAAACTAGAAATATGTCCATAGGACATGAATGCCCCGCCGAGGATATATTAGTAAAGCAACATGAAATTTGTACATGTATAAAATTTGATCAGTTTGGTTCAGGCAGGGCTTATAGTTAGTTGGGAATAAAAATGTAGGTCCAGCATCCAAAGCAAGTCTGGTAGTGTCCATCCCTAGATGCATCATCCACGCAAGTTTGGTTCAGGTAGGGTTTATAGTTACTTGGGAATGAAAATATAGGTCAGATCCAGCATCCGAAGCAAGTCTGGTAGTGTCCATCCCTAGCTGCATCATCCATGCAAGTTTGGTCTAAGTAGGGCTGATAGTTCCTTAGGAATAAATCTGCTCCAAAAACTTCAACCTGGTCACTCATCTGGAAAATGTAGGTCAGATCCAGCATCCGAAGCAAGTCTGGTAGTGTCCATCCTTAGATGCATCATCCAAGCAAGTTTGGTCTAAGTAGGGCTTATAGTTCCTTAAGAATGGACCTGCTCCAAAAACTTTAATTTGGTCACTCATCTGGAAAATGTAGGTCAGATCCAGCATCCGAAGCATGTCCGGTAGTGTTCATCTCTAGATGCATCATCTATGCAAGTTTGTATCAACATGTAAAGTTTGATAACACCATCTTGAATGGTATGTTTAAAACTGAGCTAAACACTATTTAAGAAAAGTCAGGTCAAGGTCAAAAAATGTTATTGCAGTTGCATAGCTCTCATCAATATCTCTCAGCATATGAAGTTTGATGAAAATATCTTGGATAGTTTCTTTGAAACTTAGCTTTGAACAGAGCTAAACACAAAGTGGGACGGAAGGACAGAAGGACGGAAGACGGACATGACAAACACTATATGCCCCGGCCATATTCATGGCGGGGCATAAATATTCAGTTACCAACATATTCCAGAAAATTTGCTTTTTGAAGTGGAAGGATTATAAAAGCTCTACTTAGAATTTGTTTGCATTACAAAATCAATTGTATTATGGTTTGTTTGCATTCAGTAGTATTATAATTTTTTCTGAAAAGGATATGGTTGCATGAATCCGGAGTGTTGGGAGCTTCACCTGATGGCTTAGTTGTTCGACCACCAACATGCAGTGTATTTTATCAAACTCCAGAAGCCAAAGACGCCATTCCTAATATTGTAGAGGTGAAGTGTCCATATACAGCATCGTCTTCAACAGTAGCAGATGGGGCACAAAATTTGAAGGATTTTTCATAGGTAAATAACATTAAAAATCTGTATTGTCCAGTACTTTGAAATTAAAAATCTTGGTGAGTAAATGATTTCAAAACATGTATTAATTTACAAGTGCAGCTGTTCAATATGGTATGAAGATATTGAAAAAGGAGGGGATATGTACTGGTATAACACAACTTAAGTGTTTTTTGATTTTTTTTTAGATCTTAAACAAGATACCCTGTGCCTGAAAACCAGTCACCCATACTATCATCAAATTCAAGGCCAGCTACACATATGTAACAAAACATTCTGCGACTTAATTGTGTGGACAAGAGTAGACTGCATTGTGATTAGAATAGTAAAAGACATTGAATGGACAGCAAATGTTCCAAAGCTGATAGATTTCTACATTAACATTTTCATTCCAGCACTGATGGAAAACTGAGTTCTGGTTTGAACTTCTTGACACTTAGTTTTGTACCTCTAGAATTTTCTAACAATGGAAAATGGGTAATCATGTTAAATGTGTTGAATGTTCCTAAGTCTCATAAATGTATGATATGATATGTCACAATCCATCATAAAACTTCTGGCTTATAAGACTATTTTAAATAGCAATGATGATTAATAAAATCTATGTACTACATAAAAAAAGAATATCAAAATTTAGAATCATTTTATTAATGAATTGAAGATGTTATTCTCAAAGTGAAAATGTAACATTTTGGTCTTTCTTAATAGATAAATTGTTGAAAACATGAATTTGTTGAGTTGTGCTTTAAAGGTAAATATACTTTAAACTAGAGATTTAAAATTATAAGTAAACCCTCTTCCAAATTATATTGTCAAATGAAGAATGGAATTGCCAAACATTCTTGTAATAAATCCATGCTAACAAAAGGGATTTTCATTTTCTGAAGTATATGTATTACAACATACTACAAAGTTAACATATATAACCATTGACATTGATAACAAATCAAAATTTGCTTATCCCTTGCACTTTGGTATGAATATCTTCACTGTTTAGTGTATACTGTCACACGCCAATGCAAATTTATAATAAGTACATGTATCTTTAAGTAATTTCTTTCAAAAGTGGAGCTTGCAAGTTTACAAGACAAGAACAGAGTTGAAATATTTTTGTTGAGATTGGTCTGTAAGTAGATGGTATGTGACGGAGAATCTCGTAATTCTTTATCCTCTCGTTGGCTCTTTCCACATGAATAAGTGCTTTAGCAATTTTGTAACACAGTGCTGCTTCTTGTATGGTAAACTGGCCTCGTGTCGATAAAAGAGCTTTTATAATTAAGCAGACACCCTGGGGCAACTGGTCATGAATGGTGAAACCTTTGACCACCAAAATAAGGTCTCCAGCTTTGAACTTTCGTAAAACTTGGCTGTGACGTACAATAGCTACATCAGAAGTAGAACCTGGGTACAGCATGGAGCAAAATGTAAGTGCACCATTTGGAGGCACGCAAGTTACTGCTTTAAAAGTATGGCAACTTTTGTACATACTGTAGGCCATTGCCTGATTATCCATATGTGTTGGGATGTCCTGGATTGTTTCAATTGCATCCATGGATGCTCTAGCAGAGGAAAAATCCTCAAAAGATTTTGGCAGAGACCCTGAAAAAAAGTTGGAAAAAAATTAATTTGATTATTTGTAATTGTGTAAAAAAAATTGTGTTACAGTCAATCTTTCAAGAATACAATAAATTTAACTGCATTAAATTTTTGCAAGTCATTATGATAAATTTTAAAACAAACCTTTGCATTTAAGCTGACTTGGAAAACATTCTACGCTACATTCTACACTACGCCATCAGACAGCATCTTGTATAGGGAAAAGACCACTAATTATTTTCCCATAGAACTCCATACAAACCTTAGGCCCTCTCAGTACTTTACTATGACAATTTCAGAAAAATCTTTAGCATCATTTCAAACTTTGTTCTAAGCCCTAACAAAAAATACTGAAAAAAATACATGGTCCCATGGCGTTTATAGGTCAAAATTGCAGTTATTTTCAACTTTTAGAGATTCGCAGTAAAGAACACGCGGCATAAAAAATCAACCCCCACTCCTAAAATCTTCCCTGGCATTTCTATAGTTTCTGTAATATTCCCTCATCCCATCATTTATTTCAAAGGTCATTAATTTTACTTTAAAATGAAAACAATTAAATACCTGATTTCAGCCAATGGCGTAACGCCTACCCATTCAGTATTCGGTTTAATGTTCCATAACAAACAAAGCCATGTGTGCATCCGGGGATTTGGTGCTCTCATTCCTATACTTACATACTTACCTGTCCCAGAATTAGTCAATTGTGGTAATTTCAAAGACTATACACCTACCTGTGAACATGTATGAAATTTGAGTCCTGTGACTTCAGTGTATTGGATACTGTGACCATCTCAAATGATGACACCTTACTGCTACCAGCACAATTCAAAGGAGTGAATGACGTCTGGGCCGGTGATGATATTTGGATATATTGGTGACTGTAAGAAATAAAATATTTGTACAATGAATTGTTTTTGTGCTTTAATGTTAATAAAGTGATATTAAGTCAAAATTGAGTCAATAATTTCATAAGGGTGGATTCTACCCAGAATTAGGTAAAAAGCTCCAAAATTGGATAAATCGTAGTTAATTAAGCAAAATTCAAAGGTTTTAAAAAGACTGATATAGAATTTTTTTATGCTTATGCAAAGGATATTATTTAAGACTCTGATATACTAATTGATTCTTATCTAATCCCTCCTATTGCTCAAGTATGTACAAAAAAGTTTCCCCACCCCCCAGTGAAAAACGCTTAAAGAAATAGCAGGTGCCCCCTTTTATTTTTGTTTACAATTAATTTAGACAAGTTTAAATCAATCCTTTTGATAACAAATCAAAGTTCAATGTCTGTAGTCTTATACTTTACAATCAGAAGCTACTTTTTGAATTTTATTCTAAGAAAAGGAGAATTTAAATAATTTTTTTTAAAAATTAAAGAAAAGCAAAAACTGACTTCAAACCCCAAAATGTACTATACAATAAGAGGCTGGAAAGTTAATAAATAAAAAATTTACCTGCAATGTACAGAAAACTGTCCGACAAAATACATCGGGTGGGTAGGGAGTCTCCATTTTCTTCTTATATAGAGAAAATGCCCCTGCTGATCAGAGACCTAACACTCCCAAATAATAACAAAATATGTTAACATAACAGTCAATCTAAGATGTTCATCCCTCAATGGCAACAAGTTTTTATTACAGTAACTGAAATTGTTAGGAAATAGGAAATCACAATTGGAATTCCTTTAAATGTACCTTCTCTTCGTTGTATTTAATATCGTGGATTGATATTGGCTTCCTTTTACTAGACTCTATTTTTAGGGCAAGCAATTCCTTTTCCAGTTGTATACTGAAAGGAAAAAGAAACGCAGGGTAGCAAAATGTTCGGAAAAAATTTGACCACATGACCGAAAATTACAAAAATTGGTCAGAAGAGAAATTTAGTCAGTGTGCACCAAAATCAGTATTCAGAATTACTCAACCGTAAAATTTATGACGTCACATAGGGAAAACGCTAAAAAGCCCAAAGCACGTGCAGTTTGATAACAACGAGTTTGTCAACAATTCTTGTTGCATTATTTGATGCATATGAGGTATGGACATCGTTTTTCAATATTAAGAGACATTATGAATTTTTTGCAATTTTGGCACAGTTTACGGAAGTTCATTGGGGTCTTGTTTTCGAATTGCCTAATTTATGAAAAAGGCAATAACGGTTTAATAAGCTGTTTCTTGTAATTTTTTCCCAATAAAACTTGTTACCCGTTGTCAAAGAGGGTCTGGAATGGTTTTCAATCAACCGTGACGATGGCGTTAACGCGAAACAGAGCCATGTTACGAGCGGGTTATTCGTCCTGCCATCTCTTAAATCGCCACCTTACTACCACAAAAAGAGCAATTTATACAGTAGAAGATTATAATCATTACATTCATACAAAATTTGAAAGAAAACAAGTCCGTAATTTGATCTTTTGAGCCAGTCAA